TTTTTGTGGTTTAAAGCACTCAAGAAAGACGTGACATAACACAACCACCCAAAGTCATTTAGCGCAGCTGATCAACACTTATTGTATCACTAATGGAAATAAGCTCTTACATACGTTCAATTTTCTTAGGAAGACTTTGTGAGATACTGAACGAAGCGCGGGTGGTTTCGTACTTTAACATACGTTGACGGTTGTGTTGTTCGAAAAACTTAAAATAAACATATGTAAGAAGGAATATAAGTTTGATCATATTAATTATCTCCTCGACTATCAGGATTACTTCAACGTCCTCCATTTCATGTCCATCGTATCAACGTTTATTTAACCAAGTAGCGATTTATTTGATGAGTACTAAGTCATGCACAAAAAAAAAACCCTCTAACTTTTGCAAATACATTAGTGTTTCTTATGTGAACTAGTCTAAAAGCCAGTACAAAATAAATACAAACTGCATTACAATGCACAAAATTAAGAACAAGTAAACCATTCAACCAGAAATTACAAACAGTTTACTCATAATTGAGTATCCGAAAACAAATAGCAAAAAAACAAACCCACAACAAAAATAAATAAAAATAAATCATGAAATAAAAAACAAAGAACCTACATCAAGTACTGGGAAAAAATTGAATACCCATTACGAGGGAGAATAAAATAAGGTATAACAAATACATCTTACATTAGGGCTATGAAGATCGAATGTACACGAAGAGGCCACTTTTAATGAAATTAGTTTTAATATAAACTAAAAATATCACAAACAATTAAATATATCATTCTTTTAAATTAATCATAATTAACTAAAAAAACTCATTTTACAAGGATTTATTTGTAAACATCTCGCCTGAAAAATGTGCACAAATATCAGTGAGTTGATCAATAAAAATATGAAATGTATTTAACTGCACCATGTAACTTAAATTTGTGCAAAAATAAGAAATTGTAGTAATAATATAGGACATGAGTAGTCATTTCCGATAGATTATTTATAGGTCAACCACTATACATTATGGTCCCACAAAATCACATCAATGTCCTATCAAAATTTTAATTTTCTTTCGTCACAATATCAAAATCTTTAACACATTTTTACTCTTTTTTTTTTTGGAACGAATAGAAATGATATATAAAAAGCACAAAAGTGCAAGGGTACAACTACCAGCTGAATAAATATGGGAGGACTGGTCATAAGACCGTCTAGAACCGACTCTAACAGGATAATACTCTAACAAAAAACACAACACTAAAATGACCCCAACAGGGTAAAAAATACAACACTAACACGGCTCCAACAGGGTAATGCTCGAGTGTGGGATCCCAACAGGATAATAAGGTCACACTTGAGCGAACTGGGGCCAATGACCCAAACCTAAAAAACATCAACAACAGCCACACACGACTAACACAACTCAACAACAACGAAAACACACCTACACGAAACAAAACAAACAAAAACTAAACAAAAGGAGCCCTTCCTCGTCGCTCGACATAGCCCATGCGTTTCGAAAAGCGGAGAAGACGCCTCGAAATCGGCCGTAACGTTCCAACTGCCAGCGGTTTTTAAACCATTCAAAAATTTAAAATTTAAAAATAAACTTTCGATGAAAGATGAAAGATGAATAAAATAAAAAATAAACTTTCGAGTAGAAGCGCGAAGAGGGTATGCGAGCAATATGCGGTAGTTCGCATACCCCGTCGCATAACTGAAATAACGGAAAGATGAAAGAAATAAAAAATAAAATTTCGAGTAGAAGTGCGAAGGTGGTATGAGAGCAATATGCGGCAATTCGCATACCCCATCGCATAACTGAAATAACTGAAAGATGAAAGAAATAAAAAAATAAATAAAAAATAAACTTTCGAGCAGTGTTTAAAAAACCGTACCGTACCGGCCGGTAATACCGGTATTACCGGTTACCGGCCTTAGGTACGGTACAAAAACACACAAAATACCAGATTTTCGGTAATACCGTTT